CGTCGTCATCACCGTCATCATCATCATCATCATCATCATCATCATCATTCTCATCATCATACTCATCACTTTTTCCATCACCATTACCATCACCATTACCATCACCATTATGATGTCGATGCTAGGGACATTTTTCGCAGTCAAGGCGGAGTTCAAGTCTTCCGGCGTGTGAACTCTCTCTGTCGGACGTCAGAAAATGCATGAGAACAAGGCAGACGACAGAGCAAGCTTGAGAAGACGGTAAAAATGCCAAAGGCTGCTGCGTGAAAAAAGTTCGAGGACCTTAGAATAGAATTTAAGTTCTATCTTCAGACTCTACGACCTCACACTAAACGGCATCCTAAGCCTATTGCTTCTCATCCAGAGCCGTATTGAATCCTAATAAAACTGATCCTAAACCCTGAACCCCACATATTCCGAGCCTAAACCCTGCCGGTAGTCGGAAAAAAGCCTTGAACAAAAAGACAATTCAAAAGCAAGCCCTAAACCGTAAACTCTAAACCCTAAACCCTAAACCGCTAAAAGCAAGCCCTGAAGCCTGTTCAGGTGCATTGAAACCCTGTAGCCTGCAGCCCCAAAGCTCCGGAAGACCCTGCAACAGGTTCCCTGAAAGGCCTCAAGTCCAAAGCCCTGCTTGGATGTTCATGGGACTTACTAAGTATATGCAGTTATGAGTATCTTAACTGGGGTCTGTGTATGCTCCATGATCCCTGAAGTATACTCGGTTCCCTCAAGGCGGAAGGCGCGGGGCGCGATCTGACGCAGGTCAAAGGAAGGTTCCCTCAAGGCGGAAGGGGCGGGGAAACCCTATAATTCGCCGGTTTGCCTAAAGGATTTCCTAAAGGGCCCTTGGTAAAATGGAGTTTTATGGGGCTAATTCCTCAACCCCAAACCGGAAGCCCCACACCTTAAACACTAAACTCCACGCAGATATCCGGAGTGTGGAAAAAAGGCCCCCAAGCAAAAAAACACGCGGATCAAAGGATATGTACCTAGGACCCGTATATCTCTCATTATAGAGCCCTGAGAGAAGCGCTATTCGAACAACTGAACCCTGAATCCTAAACCCCCCCAACCCCCGGCTAAACCCCAAACCCCAAACCCCTTCTTTGGGGTGCCACCTGCTGTTGCCTCGGCTGGCCCCGCTGCTGTTGATGATGGGCCGGCTCACGGGTCTGTTGCGCCTGGCTCTCCCGCCGACTCCCTTGAGGATTGCATGCCTGCGACGGCCGAGGCTGGGGACCAGTTGCGTTATGACTCCCGAGGCCGATTGCTCAAAGGACGCACCAAAAAGGCCAAAGATCATTGGAAGTGTGATTGGTGCGACTACGTCGTGCGTGGCAAGCACTGGTGTGCCTACCGGCACCTGCACCTCAAGACTTGGCACCCAGAGCATTTGCAGGACTTTGGGCACCGCCACCGCAGTTTGTGACACCGGGCCCCGATGATGTTGTTGAGTGGCCCTGCCCCCTCTGCGATAAGGCCCTGCTCAAAACCCTAAACCCCAAACACCAAACCCTAAACCCTAAACCCTAAGCCCTAAAACCCTAAACCCTAAACCCCAAACCAAAAAACAAACAACGACGGCGCGGGTCGATCCGAGGCCGATCCTCCGCGAAGAGCCGCCAGTGGGTTGCGGCACTGCGCCTACTCGAGGAGCACTCTTTCTGGGTCTTGGGGGTTTTGGGGGTTTTGGGGGGTTTTGGGGGGTTTTGGGGTTTTGGGTTTTGGGGGTTTTGGGGGTTTTGGGGGTTTTGGGGGTTTTGGGGGGTTTTGGGGGGTTTTGGGTTTTGGGGGTTTTGGGGGTTTTGGCTTTTTGGAGTTTGGGTATTTGGGTTTTGGATTTTTGGGTTTTTGGGTTTTTGGGTTTTTGGGGTTTTGGGGTTTTTGGTTTTGTTTTTTTTTGGGTT